CCCCCCTGCCACTCTGGGCCCGGGACAACAGACCCGTTTGTCCCCCCCTATCAGCGGGCGTGCCAGGTACCAATCTCAGATATTAGTTTCTCTGATTGTTTGAAGAAACCTGCAAGATTCATTTCCATTAACATGAAGCTCATACTGACGACTTTACATCAGACAAGTTAACTGAGCACAATACAGATCGACTACAAACACACTCAAAACAACCACACAGAGGCCTCTGTGCTTCACTGTCAGGACGGTGCATCCACTGTGGTGGTCCTGGTCAGGTTCACACCAAACATCTGGACTCTATGTGGGCCCAACACATCCATCTTCATCTGACCAGAGAATTTTCAACATAGTTCTTTTTAAAATAGTTGTTTTCTATTGTTCATAAGAGGAAATATGTGGGTAGAGGGGGTTTGTTTCCACTTCTATGACTAATTATGTCAAAGTATGTAGGGGGTGTTCAATAAAGAGAGTTGAGTTGGTTTATACTCATTTAGTGTATATTTGTAGGTGGTGATAGGTTTTATGCAAATATTTTTTAGGCATTTATTGGATGTGTCGGGGTTTACCCCTCAGTTGGTGTGTACATGCCAGGGTTCGTTTTGTATTTGGTGAGAGGAGCATGATGATGTATTGTCTGGCATTATGGTGCACAAAACAATAAAAAAAAATTATGTGCATCTTCTGATCCCCCTGGTCCCTTCATTGGTCGCCTCCACACGGCAGGCCGACACACCACAGGTACTGTCAGCATCCCGTTGCTTCAGTAGCGTTGAGATGCTGCTACTAAAAGTCTTCTGCCTCTTGCACACGTGAAGTTCAGGCGTCCATCCTGGGATTCACCTTTCAGAGTTTCGATGAAGCGATGCTGCTCTTAAAAGCGTACAGGGACAAACTGCTCCAACACATCAGGTGTTCATGTGCATTAAAGCAGCAGCTGATTCCAGGTGCTAAAAGCCTACAAAAGCCACAACTCAGTCGCATAAACCGGGTTCAGCTTTTACTCATTTTACATTTTTACTCCACATTTTGTTATCTTCACAAACCGAGACTCGCACGGCGCTAAAGACACACTTTCATGTGAGCAAACTGTCACATTCCTGCCGTGGCTTCGTGTGTTATCAGAGGACGGGACACCACAGGTAGACGGAGCGCTCCTCTAACGGGATTATCCTCAGGAACAAGGATCCTCAGCCGCAGGGCATCAGAGGCCTTCTGTAAACAGCTTAGCAGGAATAAGAGCTCCACCAGCGAAGCCGGATTATTGTGAGGAGGAGCTGAGAGCAGTAGGAGATGTGCTGCGATTCTACTCCGGCTTCTTACATTCCATTAGAACATATTCCAGCTTTCTGATGTCCTAAATACTTTATCCAGGAGAGGAAACCTGCCCCCAGAAATATCTTCACCAAGCAGCAGGAGAGCAGAAAAACTCACATTCCACACTGAAGTTTTCTCATTTTATGCAGTAATTAGAGTCCAACTTGCAGGAAACTTCATCACAAACACTTTAAAAAGTCAGCATCAGTGTGTTTGAATGCAGGGAAATCCTGTCGGTGTTGTGGCTGCTGCTGCTGCTCAGGATGTTTAGAGGCCACAGTCAAAACGTATTTTTGTGCTCATCTCATGCATGTTTGGACACGACGCTTCCATCAATTTTAAAGCTGCGACATTAAAGTGTGAGAACGGAGCGGCTCTGAACCACTTTCAGTTCATTTTAACTCACCGTAGCAGTGATGAGTTCTGCAGCTGCACAGCCTCATACAAACACTACACACACACATATATACACGTATAAATACATATAGACTGGTATTAAAGGTAGAAACAGTCCTGGAATAAAATATATAAAGTTAAGGTCATAAACATCTTTCATTTTACAGAATACTCATAAAATTACAAAACTCGACTGAAGCCTTTAAACAACTATAAATCTGTGCTCACCTTTCTCAGCATGAGGTTTCCGTTCTTGTCCTGGCTGAGCTCCAGGCTGAACATCCTGCTGCTGTCTCCCTGGATGGAGAAGATGGGCTCCTTGTTCTGGTCCGTGTCTCGGTCCTCCAGCTGCAGCGTTTCCACCAACTCGTTCAGCTTGTGGTCCTCAGGAACCTCCAGCTCGAACGTCTCTGGATGGAGAACAGAACGTCACTAGAACATGTATTGATCCAAACACCAGACCGTTGTGCGTAGCCGCCGACTCTTACTCTTGGTGAAGGAGGCCATGTTGTCGTTGAGGTCGTTGATCTTGATGCTGACCGAGGTGGTGGCCGTGCTGCCCGAGGCCATCCCCCTCATGTCCCGGGCCCGGACCACCACCACGTACTGGCTCTGGCTCTCCCGGTCCAGAGAGTTTATCCTGCAGCTGATCATACCTGCACACAAGGCGTCAGCTGTGACTCACACACAACTAAAAGTGCCTGCTGCTAACAGCCGTCCACCTGCTGCAGGAGCTCTACCTGTGATGCTGTCGATCTCGAAGGCCGACATGTCTCCGTCTGAGGTCAGAGAGTAGCGCAGCTCGCCGTTAGCCGTGGTGGGATCATCGGCATCGGTCGCCTGCACCGCCAACACCTTAGTTCCTGCATGATGGAGGAAACATAAACCTGATTAACCCCTCATCATGAGGTTTGTTTATAAAGTTTGTGGAACCAGAACCATGAGGAGGAGAGAGAACTCAGGAGGACTCAGCTAGAATGATGGAAACCAGGAAAGAAAGGACAAGAAGGTGAATTTCTGTCTAAGACAACCACAAAGAGACGCAAAGATCAACTGCAACAAAGACACAAAATGACCTAAAAAGATGCAACCCAACGCAAAACAGATTCAACACTAACATGTTAAAACACATTTCTTTGGTTATTTATTTCATTAAACTCTAAAAAACCTCCACACTCTGTAGATATTGAACTTTTCCTCGTTCATTTCTCCTCCATGTTTGTCTTATATCTGCTCAACAGATGTTGGTCACGTCTGAGTCACCAGTGACGTTACAGGTTTACTAGAAGATGCAGAACATTTAGTGTTTTACAGAACCAGCTTCATGCTTTACTTCTGGAGCATGTTTAAATGAGAGACGTACAATAAAGTGAGTTTAAGTGACAAAGCTTCTGGAACTGACTGTCGTGTCTCATGTGATCCATTCAAGAAAGGTTGAAACGTTCCAACGATTGTTTCAGTTTTTTCTGTTTCACAGGCTGATAAATGGGGACAGTTTGGGGATTTTTTCAGAATAAATTTAATTTAAAACCCGGTTTGAAAGAGGAGAAGCAGGTTTTGGGTTCACAGGATTAAAGACGGAGAACTTAAGGTCAAAACATATTTAGCTTAAATTAAACTGATTCTTTCTGTTTTTACAGTTTCTGGCTGATCAATGTTAGAACTGTGTTGATTTATTAAAACCAGACATGCATCCTGCAGATGCTGAACCATCTCCATGTCTCCAGACTTTTCCTCTCTGCTCTGCTCATCAGCTGTATGAAGATGTTTCACCATGCTGAATGTATCTTCAACAACTGGCTCCTCTGTTTCGGAGCCATGCTGCATTTATTTATTGATCCAGGAGGTTGGATTTTCCTCTCAGTCTCTCTGAGGAAACACTGCCTGCACTTCACCTGAGGCCTCTCTAAATGTCCCACAACTGGTTCAGTCCAGACTTCACACTTGCATCCAGAAGCCCCGAGTTTTTTTTTTTTTTTTTTTTTACAGAATCTTTTAAGTATGAATGCTTTGTTTCTGACACATTTTAAACCAGACATGTTGGATTAGTGGAATTTAATTAAATATCACAAATTTAAGCTCAGATTTGGTTCATTTTAACTTCAGAACCGACTGTTTTAAAGTTGCAGGTGTTTACAGTTTGTGGCTGATAAAAGCTTTGATGGTCACCAGTGTGTCTTTCTGTCACGGAGGTTTGCATAAATTGGAGCTTTTCGTTTAGTTTTGTTCTGGTTTAGTGAGTCAGGCCTGCAGTAGCAGAACATCTATCATCAGAACTTCATGAACTTTCTTCATTAATCAACTTCACACATTCTCTCTGTGTTAGCTGGTTGGACGACATCAGCGTCTTCCAGGACACTGTGAGTAAACCAGTGTGTTCGTGAACCAGAGACATGCTGAAGCTTACCGATGGGGGAGCGCTCCATGATGGATCCGTTGAAGGGCCGGGAGAACACCGGGCTGTTGTCGTTGAGGTCGGTCACCTGGACCACGAAGTGTCCGGAGTCTTCGATCAGCTTGTTGTTCCCGTCGTACATCCGGGCCGTCAGATGGTACAAGTTCTTCTCCTCCCGGTCCAGAGCCCTGGTGACGAACAGGTCCCCCTTCTGGTCCACGGTGAAGATGGTGTTGGCTCCTTCGCCTTCGATCTTGAACCGCTTCACCTCCACCGGCTGGCTTGACTTCAGCTGCGACGCAAAGAAAACACACATTTGTCTCACAGGTTTTAGGTCAACAACCTTTCAGGCAAATATCTCCTATAAACTGCAGCATAAAGTCCTGCAGAGTTCCATGTGTCGTCGTGTTTACGTGGTGGACCGGTGAGACCACTGAGTGGGCAGATGGCCTGTGTCGGCCCAGCTTTAGCCTGGAGCTGAAGACCTGCCCTCCAGCCCTTGTTCTCCCGACCTGTCTGATTGGTCCACCACCCGGTGCTCTCCACCGTCCATCACACCTGGACTATAAGTCAACCAAACCTTCCGTCAGGCAGCCAGTTTGCCCTGGAACCTCTGGTCTTTGTGTTTTATGCTGAACTGTAGTGTCTGTTGTCAGCTGCTAGTTACCTGAGTCCTGGTGAAGACTTTAAGTCCAGTTAGCAGCTGTTGAACTTTGTCCAGGAGTCACTCGTGTCTGGTTCTGAGGCACTGCTTTGTTCAGGTTCTGTTGTTTGTTTTAAATACGTCACTGAGCAATAAATTGCTTCACCTCCACCTCCACCTACACCTGGTGTTTGTTCCACCCAGTCCACCCTAAAGGCTGGGACTAACAGTCAGCATTAACTATTTCAAAAGCAGTCATTGGTGTAAAGTTTGAGGACTCTTGGAAAGATTAAAATCCAAATTTGCATTTTATATGAAACTTTTAAAGTCCTGAACGTACTATTTAGGTTGTCAGGAAAACTCGTTAAACGTATAATTTCATAGTGACTACAGCTGCACTGAGGAGCTCAGAATTGTTTGTTCATTTTATTTATTTTCCAGTGTATTGTTTGAGCAAGTTGCCCATTTTTTAGTTTTTTTTTAATGACACATGTAAAATAAAGGGATTTTAATGAAATATGATGATTTGAATCTCAGATTTGGCTAATTTCTCTGAGACAACATAAACTTTTAAAGTAGAAAAGCAATGATTCTCTCTGTTTTCAGTTTCCGGCTGATAAATGGTGTCATTTTGGTGGTTTTTTTTATGTGTTTTAAAATGAAATGGAAAACTCTGAAATTCTTCTCCAGTGACTGTCTCAGCTGAGTCAGTGATGTCTTCATGGTTCTGCCTGGAAGTGCAGACATTTTGTCTTGAAAATCTGATGATTCTTTTTGTTTTTCCAGTTTCTGGCTGATAAATGCTGGAGTTATGGGAATTGTTTAAAAAAGTCAACCTGGCTTTTTCAGACCAGACGTGTCTCCTCATCCTGCAGATGTTGACTGCCTCCATGTTTCCAGATGTTTTCTCTCTGCTCTGCTCATCACAAAGATGTTTCACTGTTTGGTTTGTGTTTTACAACTGAATCAGACACGAAACGTTCAAGGACTGTCGGTTTCTAGCTAACAAATTGTGTGATTTTTGTGTTTTTTCATGATTGAAACTGAGAAAACTGAGTTTTTCAGTCAGACATGGCTTCAAAGAGGCGACTGAATGTTCAGATTTGACAGAATCTACTTTGTGCAAATGGTTTATTTGGGCATTTTTTTAATGACACATGTAGAATTAATGATTTTTTTTTCTTTTAATATATTTTAGGGGCTTTGCTTTTTGCCTTTTTTTGCCAATTTTAGAGCAGAAGAGATAGACAGAAGAGACCTCGTGAGTAGGAGTCGAACCCATGACAGCTGCGTCAGGGAACTATAGCCCTGTGCATCACTCAGCTAGGTGAGCTATGGGGCACACAGGAATGAATAATTTTGATGAAATATAATGAATTTAAGCTCAGATTCGGTTCATTTTTTCCAACAAAACTGCACATGAGACATGACGCGTTCAAGGTCTGTTGTTTTCTGGCTGATAAATGCTGTATTTTCTGTGACTCCTGCAGGTGTCCGTGTCGCGGCGTGAACTCACCTGTCCGATCTTGTAGGCGATGGGAGCAGGCTTCTCCTCCTCCACGTACAGCGAGTTCCAGATCCACTCTCTCTTCTGCCGGAGCAGCACCGGGTGCGACTCCTTCTTCACGATGGCGTCCGGGCCTCGCCGCTCTGCCTCCACGATCAGAGCAAGGGCCAGGAGCCACAGCTGGATCCTCGCCATCATCTGGGACAGAACAGATCACATTAAAACCACTTATCAGCCGCCGACAGACGCCTCGGTGAGCTTTAGAGCGTGGAGGCCGAGGACGGGCCCAGCTATCGTCCAGGACCAGGGCTCTAAAGCTCTGCAGCCGGGGACCAAATGAAAGGTTCAGCCTCATCCTGGGACCTCGGCTGAAAGCAAGCGAGCGCCGTGGTCACGAGGGGATCTATTAAACATAGGCCTGTGACCCAGTTTAGGTCCTGACCCAGTCTGACGGAGAGACGAGCTGACATTAAAACCACCGAGGATGTGTGATTATCAACAGCAGAAAGGCCACTCCATGAAGGGACACTCTGACATTTTCACTTCTTTCTTTTTTTTTTACCCTTTTAATGCAAACTTTGGAGTAAAATAAAACGAGCTCCTGATTTAAAACTCCGATTGTTAAAGAAAGACGTGAAGGTTCGTGTTAAATGAGGGAGTTCTGATGTTCGCAAGCATCACACAAACAAAACCAAACACGTTGGACCGAACGGTGACCTTCAGACTTCAAACATCTCAACCTCACAAACTGTCATGTTTAGAACTTGAACCCTCTGAACCTCATGAAGCAGATTCTGGCTGTTTGTTTCACCTCCTGTCACTGAGGTTCATGTTTGTCTGCAACATAAAGTCCTGCAGCTCTGTGGAACCAGAACAACATGAAGAAGGAGAGAGAACTCAACTCAAATATAGCGACTACACAATGCAACAAAGCAGCAAAGAGACACAAAACGACCTGAGGAGATGCAAAAACAACCAAACAGACAGATAACTCAAAAAAATCTATATTTTTTTGCAGATTAAATCAAAGTCATTTTGATGACGCACCTCGACTTTTGGCTCAGACTTAGTTAACTTAATTAGCTATTCCTCTTAAGTCAAATGTATTTTAATTATTTAATGATTAGCAACGACAAACAGGTCATTGAGTTGATTACTCATAAACACTAATTTGCTTCAACTCATTTTTAGACTTTTTTTGAGAAAAGGAATCTTAGTATGTTATCACCTAATTTACATAATGAGGAACACAAAAGTTTAGGTTGACAAACATTTTAACTAGATTAAGTTGCTCTTATTAGATTTTCTTCAGCAGTTTTTGGCTTTTTCAAGTTTTTGTTCATGTTGCAACAAAATCTTCGGCAATTAATCTTGAATCTTAAAAGCAAAAACAGTCTGTAGCTGCGCAGATCTGCCAAATGAAGTTATTTATTTTCTGCACTAGTTTGTTGAACTGGACAGATCTCTCTGCTAAATTTGACTAACATTAGCAATAGCATTAGTGGATGATTATCTGGACAAGACTTGATGCTCACCTTGAAAAGTCATTTTATTCTCACAGCTAAATATGTGTCTGTAAGATAAACATTCAAATGTACTGATTTAGATTTAAAGTTAAAAACATTATTATTGATGATGCTGAAAACTGCACCAACTTAGTACTGAGTGTACGTTAAACTCATTTTTGCTGTTTGTTGCTTTAAAGCTTTAAACACTTTCTTCAAACACACAACTCCAACTATGCTGAATCAACTGATTTCTTAAAAGCTGCTACATGAACAAAAACCTACAAAAGCCAAAAACTAAAGCAGCTTAATTAAAAAAATAAATAAATAAAAAATCTGTGTCAGCTTAAAAACTAATAAAAAGAAATTCTGTTTTACATCAGAGATACCTCTTATGATTAATCCACAGTCAGTCATTAAATAATTTACATTTATAGGTCAGGCTTCTACCTGTTTGCTGGTTGGATGTAATTTCACTAAATGTCGTCTCAACTCAAACTCATTGAAGCAAACTGCAGCTCAGACATGATTTTTAGAGAGAAGTTTCATCATAAATCACTGATGTGCAGTTTAATGCAGCAAACACACGATTTCGCTGCAGCGTCTGGAGAAAACATGATCCTCAGCTGAAGTTGAGATTTGGTGGAATCGCTGTGAACGGTTTGATTCGCGCTGTTTGACTGATTACTAGTTGAGGACGTTTCATGGCGTTGCATCACCGCCTGCGAGTCATTTAGACTATTTAACCAGAGTCGGAGCCGTCACCCTCCTCCCCCACCGGCTCTATCTAATAAAGCAGAAATGCCGCAGAAATAATCTTCAAAACACTTTAGCCTGAGCGCTGTGCAGCGTTCTCAGCGTCCTCCCAGAAGACCGATTAGAGCATCTTATTGTCTCGCAGCCATTAGCAGCAGGAGGGGAACCAGAGATTAGGGCGACGGATTAAACCACGCTGCCTCTAATGGCCTAATCTGGCTTCTGCTGACCTCCGCCGACCTCTTCACACGGATCCCCACAAATCAGCTCAAGCAGCTTCCTGGCTTCACTCGGCATCCTTTTGTTTGGGCTTTGTTTGGCCTCTTGTGTTTTCTTTGTTTCGGGACTAATTTAATTAAACACAAGTGTCTTTTATTGCAGTTTTCTGTGGACTTCACGCCTGTTGAGCCACTAAATATCAGTTTTTCTGACTGGGGATCCACTAAATCTCTGCAGAATACACTCACCACGACATGCGATGAGATTATTTCACCTCCTAACACTTCTTTGTTGTCACTGAATGGCTTTAACATGATGCAGGCAGCTCCTACACGCAAACATTACTGTACAATTCTAACAGCAGAGTTTTGTTTTTATAAATATGGTTAAAAACT